TGCTTTACTTTAAAGCACACTAATGTGCTCAAAAAAGAGAGAAAGGTAAGCTAGGGTGGTGGGACAAGCAGCAAGGAAATGTTTTAATTATGCTAGAAATTTGTATTATTGCATAGTTTTTGTCTGTATCTCTATCTCTGTCTGTATCTTTTCTCCCTGAGCATCCCCAGCCTGCCCTCTATGAAAAAAGTATTTTCTCATGCTTTCTGGGGGTGGGAGAGTACATGAGTTCATATGTGAGTCTCACCACCTGTGCCAGTTTCTTGACTCTGGACCCCACCAGTGTATATTTTGTTAAAATGGATGTTGCCCATTTCACTCTTATAGTGTGACATAAACAGAGGAATGGAAAAGGTGTGCTGGAGACTTTTGTCTTGGGCCAAAAAAAGCTTTACAACAAGCTTTATAGTCACCTTCATGCATGTTGTTCCAAACCACATCATGTTTCCATGTATCATGAAACTAAGCCATTTAAACATGGTGTTCTGCAAGGATTCTCAGACCTCAAAAATCTCATGCTGCTACTGCCTATTAGGAAATATACATCCTATATGTCTATAGCCTTCCACACATGCAGCTTCTTTGTCCTATCCTCTGGGTTCCTGAAAATTGAATAGATACATTCATTAACAAGAAGTAGTGACAGATGCCATTTTCCAGTAGCCTTCAGCTGTCATACAGTTGCTTCCCAGAGACTGTGCAATTGATTTAATGTTGCCATCTGCCTTCTAGTCTCACCTTAAGAGCAGGAACTGGGAATAGAACTAATAGCTTTATTATTTAAAAATACATTCAAAAGTTAAGTTCCCTCCTGATATATAAGGTTGATTTCTATAATCTGAAATAGTCTAATTTTCTTCTCTTGCAGAACCTTTCAGAAGTCCATTAAATGTCTGTAGACATTTCCAGATTCTATTACATAGACAGATATTTCTAGCTCTACTATACATCCTCTTCCCCCTTTCTACTAGGGCAATAGGATAAGCAAACACATGCGAGAAACACATTTCAAGTTCCCTTGGAGAAGAGAGTATTTTAAACCACAGTTGATAGACTGGGGTGCACCATGTCAGATGCTATATTTTTCATACACAGTTTAGGTCCCTCTTAGGGAACATAAAGGAGCTAAAAGCAATCTGAGAAAGCATCAACCATCTGCAAACAACTTCAGAAGGCTGCAGAAGAATCATAATATCCTGCTGTGCAGTAAACCTGCTGCTTGGTACAAATTTTCCATTTTTTATTGTAAAAAATGCAAATGTAAACAAAAATGCATTCCTGCCCATCTGCCTCTCTTTTTTTTTTAAGTTGAGAGATGATATATCTTGATGGTTTTCCTTTATAATAAGACTTTTGGAGTGGTGATGGTTTTTTTCTCAGCTTTCTGTGTTTTCAGAGGAACAGCTGTGCTTTCTAAAATGTAATCATGAATGGAACACCACCAATGAAGACCACTGGCAAAACCAATCCCATTCCTCCACCACCACCCATAAAGCTTATTGTAATGGAAGATCCACACATTACATCAATCTGATCCCTACTCTCACTTCTGAATGTTATGAGCTTCTTTCTTCTTCTTTTTTTATTAGCCCATTAGCTTTCCACATTGAATATAAGCCTTCCCTTTTTGCTTCCACACATTTCTGTTTTCCATTATTCTAGTCCATGCCAATCCTGCTGATTTGTTAAAAAAAAAAACTCGCTGTCTATCTAGTTTCCAGTCTTCCTCTACTTCTTTTTCTGGTCCAAGTTTGCCATTGACATATTCCATTGCCCATCTGTTTGTCTTATGCTATGGTATATCCATTTCCATTTTAATTCTGCTATTTGTTCCTTTACATCTATTATTTTGGCCTTTTGTTGTATCATTTGACTTTTTTCTTCAGCTATTAGTTTGTAATTTAGCACCTGTTTTTGAGTTTTTGTGAGCTTTTCCCCTATGGATTTTTGTTAGAGTTCATGTCTGTGCAGTATGTGTTAATAATAGCAACATAGATGTATTGCAAACTAAAAAAAATTAAGTTTAGATTAATTTTTAGTTTCTAAGAATTTTGCTTTGTTTACCAACAGCTGACAACGCAAGTGTTAGTCATTGCTCCAGCAGATTTCTTACACTATATTATACTATAAAAACATATAATACCAACTCAAATAGAGTAGTATTTATTATTTTAATGCAAAAATGGTTAAAAAACAAGAACCTAGTGAAGAAAGAGTTGGAATGTTTGGGTTAGGAAAAAGGAATGAAGGGGTCCAGATGTTCATACCGTTCCTTGATCAGCAAATGTTTTATACTTTGAATACATTCTTTCAAAAGGAAGCAAATGGAGAGTAGAGATGGATGAGCCCCAACAGAGAGTACACATAGAATTTTGGCTTATATGCTGCCCACAGGCAGGAAAAAAATGACGGATGGAATAACATCGAACAAGATTAGTAAAGGAAGTGATCATATGTGCAAAATTTGAGAGAACAAATCAATGGCCATTATACACCAGTCAACAGTGGTTTAAATATGGCAATGTTAGAAACAGGCCAAAAGGTAGCTAAAGCCCCCCCCCCAAGGGAAAAGAGAGCCTTGTGGTGCAATGGTTACGTTGCAGAACAAATAAAATTAAAAATTATAAATGCATGTGGAAACAGTTAATGACTAAAGTGCAGAATGAATGGTATAATATTGCAGGCACCCAGATCCTGAATACATTTGTTGCTGCTAAGAGGCTCCCGAACAGTTTCCAAAGTTGTTGCAAATGTGGTTGGTTTCATTAGTATCTAGCATAAGGACTGGATCAATGTCTGTAGAGCAGAAGTGAGAAACTATGATCCTCCAGTTGTTGGATTGCAGCATGATTCCTCACAATTGGCCACAGTGGCTAGAAAATACTGTCCAACATTTTGCGTGTTACAGTATCCCACATAAATTGGCCTTTCCCATAAACATGAATGCAGGAGTCTTGTCAAAAGTTGTAAACTATGTACCAACATCTGGTACATAGAGGGAAGTCATCTGTGTAGTTGAATTTAATATGCATTTAGTATATCAGTAGGCACTGAACTGCATCTGAACACATCAATCTTAAGCATATTCATAAGGATATTACAGAATTAAAAATAACCTGGACTGATCTAGAATCACAGTGTTTTCCAAGTCAGAGGATGTAAATGTCAAAGAAACAGTACATTTGGTCTTCTTTTTAAAAGATAGGAACTGTTAAATAGAAAATAGTAAGGGCCATATTCCAGGAAGCAGTGGAGGCAGAAGAAAAAGTGTACCAAAGCATCAAAAGGATAAACTTTTAATTTAAAATATTCATGCCCCGTCTTTCTCCTCAAGAGGACCCAAGGCAGCTTACAACTTTAAAGCAAACAATTCTAAATACTAAAAAACAATACATTCATACAATATTTAAAAAGAATTAAAGAGATATCAAATTAAAAACTAGTGGATAAAATGTTTTAAAGCCATTCTAAAAATGCATTTTGAAAATGATAATAGTTATAAAAATATAAACTAATACTGTATTTTAAAAGTGCAGCAGCCCAATTTTTAAGAACTCCCTCATAGGCAACCAGTTATGGAGAAAAGGTCCACTAGAAGAGAAAGCTCTTTGCCCGCTTGCAGGAAGACAGCAAAGAGGGGGCTAACGTGGAGTAGCGACTGATAGAGAAGCCCTATCTTGTGTCCCTTGCCAAACGGAGCTGTGAGGGTGGTGGGATGGAAAGAAGTGTCCCCTGACGATTATAAAACCCAAGAAGGCTCATAAAGGGAGATGTCTTTCAGGTAGTTTGGATCCAAGTCTTTTAGGGCTTTATAGGGTGAAACCAGCACTTTGAATCGTACACAAAAACAGACTGGCAGCCAGTGGAACTGCTGTATAATGGTGGTGGTTATGGTTATGGTTATGTACTCAAGTGACCTGGAATAAGCTTCAGTTTATTCACTCCAATCCAGTCATCAGACACCAATTTAGAACTAAAACAGCTTCACTGGAATTAGATGAAAAGGAGGGATAAAGTTGGGTGTCATCCACATACTGATGACAGCCCCCAAACCCCAGGCTACCTCAACCCACCAGTTTCATGTAGATGTTAAATAGCCTAGGGACAGAATGCAACCCTGAGGGACATCATAGGCCAGGGTGTCAAACAGGAGTCCCTGAGTCCTTCAGGAAGAACTACAGCTACTGTAGAGAAATGTTTCTAACTCCTATCCCAGAGAATTGGCCCAGAAAGATAACATGGTCAATGGTACTGAAAGCCGCTGAGAAATCCAGTCAGAGTCAACTGCCCCATTCTGTTCCCAGTGTAAGTCAGCCACCGAGGTGACCAAAGCAGTCTCCATCCCATAACCAGGACTGAAGCCAGATTGAAATGGATCTACTCAACATTTGCTGTGTATTAATGAAAGGTTGGCATGCAAAATATCTATCTGGGGAGGGAGGGTAGACACACAAATCAGGGCTACAGTGCAAATGTAGAATTAAATTTATCAGATAATACTGTCACAATCTGAAAAATCGCCATGGTTGAGCAGACAGAGAGAGAGAGTTCTTCAAATCAATCTAATGAGTATTGTGGCTTCATTTGGATCTGAACTTGGTTTTCCCGTGTTTAAACTTAATCCTCTAAAGACTCCACTGCATACTTAGAATACTACATTTACTGGACAAAAATGAGTTTCAAGAGGTATGAAAAGGAGGCAAGCTACAGAGGAATGTCTAGAAGGATTCAAATAACAGCGTACACACCAAATGGGCTTCTACTGGCTTGTGGTTTTTCAGTTGTTGTGATAGGCTTCCCACAAAGATGCGTCAGTTTATAACATGGTACCTTCCTTGTAGTTCCAGCTCAGTACGAGCTCTGGGTCCTTTTCTTTGTGGGTTGTCAAGACACCCTTCTTTTGTTCTGTATCTGCACCTGTTTGATAAAGGGGAATTGTCCCCCTAAATTTAAGGCATGTGATAGAATTTGTGATCAAATCTAGTTGTGTTCTTTACTAGGTAGAGGATGAAGAGGCTGAGGAAGAGATCAATGGTGTCCTGTCAGCAATTGCCAACAGCTGCAAGGCAGAAAAGGCACACAAGGTGAACTCGGACAAACCCCCTCAAACCTCTGGCAGTGAAAAGGAGGAGAAAAGTAAACACAGCAGATGTCACTCACCAATGACAGTGATGAAGAGACTCTTCTGTATATTTGACTGTGTCCATGTTAAAAATCCATATCACATAGACAATTATGCCCGGCTTTCTTTTCCCTTATCATTCATCATTGTGAATGTTTTTTATTGGGTGTACTATTTGTATTTTTAAGCTTTTAAAATCTCTTGTGGAAAGGAGGAATGAGTCTAGCCAGGAGAAGGGGCACCAACTTCTGCCAGAGAGAAGCTTTCACCCTACAGTGTGTTTGGCTATCAAAAGAAGACTGTATTTTATTGAGTAGCATTATTGTTGTGTTTCTGCTGAAATTACTGTTCATCTGTTACACTGGTGTGGTACAAAATATGTCCCTGGTCATCCGTTAGAATGACTGTGTTTTAAAAAATTGACATGATTTTGAGCATGCCAGTCAAATCTTGTTTGTAATGTTGAATGGCCAAACACATTTTTTTAAAAAAAAAATCAATGTAAGATTTTGTAAAATGAGAGTTCCATAACATCAGTCTGAGCTGTGATTAATATGTTTAAAAATAAAATGAGAAAGCTATTATTTCCTATCTACTCCCCACCCTGGTGCAATATCAATATCACATTACCTTTGGCATTGTTGATAATATATAGCCTTTCCAGAATAGATAACAAACTCTTACCACATCCAGTAGTAGTAAAACATTTTATTACTCTTCTCACCATCCTTCCTTCCTTCCTTCCTTCCTTCCTTCCTTCCTTCCTTCCTTCCTTCCTTCCTTCCTTCCTTCGTTTCATTGGTAAGCCACTTTTCTCCCAGTGAGAGCAATTCACACTAAAAACACACAAAAAATTACAAGGCTAAAAAACAGTTGGACATACAATAATAAATTTAAAAATCAGTTAAATAAATGTTTTAAAATTCTCCACAAGAACCACTGTTTCACTGTAATGTCCTGGGCTACTTAAGTACAGATTAGTGTAAAGCTGTACACAAATTGAGTAAAATGCATATGATGCTTGCTTATTCCTATTATGAATAAATTCTGCTGCACTTCAGGTCTTCAGAGTGTCTTGTCAGTTTGAACTGGTTCATCCTCAACCAGGCTACATGACACAAGAAAGCAAAGTTGAAAAGTGCTGAGCAATTCCTTTATTACATAGACCACCAGCATTTGTGTAAGGTGTCCTGCTGCCTGTTCCTGCAACATTCATCGAATTGTTGTAGGGCTGGAAGGGACCTTGGAGGTCTTCTAATCCAACCCTCTGCACCAGGCAGGAGACCTCATACCATCCGGGACCTCCTACCATCCTGGACAGATAGCTATACAATCTTTTCTTGAAAACCTCCAGTGATGGCACACCCACAACATCGGGAGGCAAGCTGTTCCACTGCTGAATGCTTCTCGCCACCAGGAAATTCCTCCTTATTTCCAGATTAGATCTCCCTCTGATGAGTTTCCACCCATTGGTTCTTATCGTACCCTCAGGCACATTGGAGAATAAACTGATGCCCTCTTCCCTGTATACAATCTTTTCCTGAAAACCTCCAGTGATGGCGCACCCACAACATCGGGAGGCAAGCTGTTCCACTGCTGAATGCTTCTCGCCACCAGGAAATTCCTCCTTATTTCCAGATTAGATCTCCCTCTGATGAGTTTCCACCCATTGGTTCTTATCGTACCCTCAGGCACATTGGAGAATAAACTGATGCCCTCTTCCCTGTGGCAACCCTTCAGATATTAGAAGACTGCTATCAACATTCACCAAGAGTGGGGAAGACGAAATGAAGAAGGAGGGCCGTGGTGGCTGTATATTTCTCCATGATATCCCTACTCACTTGTACAGTCCAGGTGATAAATTTGTCATGAGTGAATCTCAAGTGGAGGAGAGACAGTAAGAAAGCTATTAGATAATACTAGTATCAGATAGCGAATGCTCATCATATTATCTAGTTCCAGGATATTTATGTCAACGTAAATGTCACTACCAATAATTCTGCTCCTGAATTTTCTTTTTCTCCAATCTCTATAGACTGTTCCCAAACACATGTAGCAGCTGTGGGTGAGCAACATAATCACATACAGTAGGCTCTGTGCTTGTGAGGAAGTATGTTCATGAAAACGCACACTATGATACATCTGATAGATTTACAGGTACCAGCATATCTATTTGTTATAGTATTGGAAACAGTCTGTTACATCTTTACCCATATTGGATGGGTAATTCAATATGTCCCCTTTCTGGTAATAAATATTTGTTGTCTTGGTTGCCGTTCCTGTATGTCTTTGGAAATATGTAACATGACATGTTAAGCTTAACTGATGCTGTAAAATTGAAAGTCCAAGACTGAGAGCCCTGGTACAATTAAACCAAATTATTTCCCTATTTTTAAATAAAACAAATAGAAATAAAAAGAGAAAGAAGATAAAATAATGTAATATAATATCCTGTTGCTTATATGTCACACTATAGTTGGTCTATTTAAGTATGGATTTGGTGAGTCCAGTCCGCTGTAAATTTCATTGATTCCAGCAGTCCTACTCTAATTTGCTTCACAGCAGTAACTTGAATTGGCCCATTTGAATCAATGGAACTTACGGAGGAGTTAACTCACCGAATTCCCACAAATCCAATGGACTTACTCTAGTGCAATTTACTGTGCTAAGGAACAGGATTTCAGCTGATAATAATACAAATATAACAATATGAAAGAACAATAAGCTGCTCAGAGACCACTGATAAAGGTGGTCTCTAAAATCTTGCAAATAAATAAATAAATAAAAATCAATGGAACTTACGGAGGAGTTAACTCACCGAATTCCCACAAATCCAATGGACTTACTCTAGTGCAATTTACTGTGCTAAGGAACAGGATTTCAGCTGATAATAATACAAATATAACAATATGAAAGAACAATAAGCTGCTCAGAGACCACTGATAAAGGTGGTCTCTAAAATCTTGCAAATAAATAAATAAATAAATAAATAAATAAATAAATAAATAAATAAATAAATAAATAAATAAACTCTTCAGATGCGTAGTAAATAGTGTACGTATTAACTAAAGTCCCATTGCTTCTGGTGGATCTACTTTACATATATCTTAAGTCTAGAACCTCACCCATCATTTGTATGTCACCTTTTCCCAAGCCCTTTTCTGCAAAGGTAATTTGCAATAGAGTCTCAGAGATATGTCACGGAATAAGTACAGTACTGTTCCTTTGCCTCTAAGTCCTGGCACTGGCATAAGAGTAGGCTATTATGTGATGGATGAAACTGGTGTGTGAGATATGTAATTACCTCTCTTGTTCATTGTATTAATTTAAATGGTCTCCTTCCTTCTGCCTGTACAAATGCAATAAGCTCCTTAAGAAAAATTCAACATAAGCCTTTCTTTACTGTTCTTGGCATTATACTTTACATAAAGCCTGGCATGTTGTATTGTGAAAAGAATATGGGTAGCAGGATTAATTACTTGTAAACATCATCACAAACATAACCGCACTGAAGTCTCTAATAGGCAGACATTAGTAGGATCAGTTTAACTCTCCAAGACCATGCAAGTCTTTTGTGGGATCTGGCCTGAAGAACTTCTGAGTGAGCAGCAGAAGATGAACTGCTGAGAGGACTGAAGAGGTTATTCCATCAACTAAATTGTGCTGTTAATAAATATTGGGGAGGAGTTTTTTTTTTTACCATGTAATGTGAGAATCACGACTCCTTTCTTATCTTCAAAGAAATGTAAGTATTTGAGCTTCCTTGTTTACCAGAAAGGACGATACTTGCTGTATACAGAGGGTGAGAAATCTGTATCCCACAGATGTCATTGCACTCTAGTGCTTATTAGCCTTAGCAAGCCAAGGCAAGGGTGAAGTGTGATGGGAGTCATAGTTGTTCAACATCTGGGGGACCTAAAAATTATGATCCCTGCAATATACTGTACTAAGGACTACTATTCTCATACAGAGAACATCGTTTGTATAAAAGGGCTCTGAGCATTTCATTCCATATGGGGGCAGTCTTATGCTATATACTTCTACAAAATTACATGTGGATATATTTCAGGCTCCTATAGAAACACACTCAGATATGTGTTCTGCAGCAGTATTTTCCCACAATGGTGTCATATAGATAGGAATGTATAATACTGTGAGAAAATCTGTAAACAATCAGCTTGGTGGCAAGACATGGATAATTTTCCTTTTTGTGAAGGTGGGTAGAGAAACTAGCTGTATGCATTATGACCACAAATGTGGTTTTACCTCACTAAACTAGATTCATTCTTGATTCTAGTGGACAAAGTACTGAACCAGAACACTAGAGAGGAAGGTGCCAATCAGGTCTTCTCCCACTTTCCCCCAAAATGGATGAGCTTACCTTGGAAACACAATTCAAAACTCCAATGTTATGTTTCATCATGTCTCAAAAAAGCTGCAGTTTTCTCAAGAAAGCAGAAGAGGGCGCTCTCAGATCAGCTGTTGCTGGGTTGATGTGGCCATTTTTCATCTTTCATGACATCTTTGTAGAATTGTTCTTATATGAGATGCAGCAAATTGCCTTCTTTTGATATAGTACATGTTGCAGCCTCTCAATTTAGTCTACAGAGTGACTGGAGGATTAGATCTGACTGAATTTGTACTACAGCTTTGCATTGCTGTCAAAATCATTAGGAAAACTCACTTTTAAGAAATAACAGTGATCCAAGTCTGTCATGATCACAACTAATTTGCAATTTTCTCTTTACATTGATTCCTTTGTGTGATCACATACATGGAAGAGCAACAGCTGTCTTGGGACAATGAAGCTTAATAGGAATCAAACTGCTTTTTAATTATAGTCAATTTTGGTTTGTGTTTCTACAAGACATTGACCCTAATGATGAAACAGAGAGCATATCATCTGTTTTAACAATAGGTTTAAGATCTGATAGCTAGATAAAATACATACTGAATCATTACTATATGTGAAATGCTCATATGGCTGCAAGGAGTATTCATATACTGGCTAGCAAATGTGAAAAACAACATTTTTTAAAAAAAAATCTACCACAAACCTATTGTTACGTTCCTCCTGTTACTATTGCACCTTGAAGGAAACAAGATCAGATTTCCATTTCATTTATTGGTTTGACTGTCTTCACCAGCTCCCATTTGTTTTCTAGGCACAGTTGCTAGTTTATAAAAAAAACAATAGGAAGGCTGCCACGCTCCAGGAAACTTATGTGACCCACCACCAAGGGTGTCCTCTTAGGTCCAAACGACAGATCTCATTAGAGCTCAAATCATATTAGAGACATGACTCAAGTAGGCCCTTAAAGGAATAACTTCCTTGTGGCCTGATGACCAATCACAAAACAAAGCAAGCTAACCTGCAAATTACAGGAGACGATGCAGGAGAAAATCTTTCCATGTTTCATGTGTGCTGTAGGTAGGGCCACATGCTGTAGCTTGGGTACCCTTTGACACCTGACTTCCATACTACATAATTAGCTGGGTTTTATTTGTCTTTCAGGCCCAAAGGGTGTCCACATGTATTCTTTTAGGGAGGACAATCCTCCATTTGAAGACCTGGCCTCCTTTCTGGTTATGCACACAGTGGTGCCTCACAAGACGAGCGCTTCGTTTAACGAAGAAATCGCATAACGAAGAAGTTTTTGAGATTGCAAAAGCGATCGCAAAACTATGTTTCCTATGGGGTTTTTTCGCTTTGTAATGATCGGCTACCTGCTTCGCTAA